TCATTTAAATATAAAATATAACCTGGTATTTATGGGTTGCGAATTTACGATAAAGTCCAGAAGAATAACATAGAGCCGTGGCCTGCTTAAATAGTCCTCTAGGCTACTAGAAGCAAGAAGACGGTCGCCTATGCCGCGTAAAATTCGGAGAATTGACAGATTTTTATTCATTTAAGTCAATTCAATAAGAGGCGACGTTCTGAAATACTAACAACTATATGGTTTAGAAACGTCTAACAGTTCTTACCAAGCTTTTTCGTCAAAGGCCGCCATACTGTTAAACCACAATAAAAACTTTGAGTCCATTTGAAGGCGGTAAAACTTTGCATTATGTTGAATCAGCTTCAGCTGCCAGATAATTTCGTATTCACGACGTCGCTTGTCAACGTTAATCAGACCTTCAACAAACACAGTACAGCAAACATTACTACAGTACATGAAAAGATATGCAACAAAGACCTGAAAGATGCCAACTTCTCAAAACAATCGTTTGCATAGTAAGACAGCATAACAGTTATCGCTGTATATAGGCACTATACATATTTTCCTATCTATCGCGTTTCTCATATGCTTGTCAGAATACACAGATGTGCCAGCGTTACGAAACAGCGACAGTCCAACAAATTATAAATAACGCAACCAACCTTTCAGCTGCATCAGCGTCAGCCAAGAACTTCGGCATTAAACGACGCTTTGAAGCAAAACGCAGTTGTTCCCACTTATAAAAAACGATGTCATCTCAAGTCAGACTAAAGACACTGTAATCAAGAGAAGAGGAGGGACACTCCACAATCCTATTTTCACTATCTTAAGTGATAGGACGGTGATAATTGGTTTTCATGGCAATGTAAAGCTGTGCCAATAAGCTCTGACAGGTTCAGCCAAGCTGTGAAAGGTTGAGAAATAAACATGGCCAAGTGGAAGAAACAAAACTCGACAACCCGCTTGGCAAGCGTGGCGAATTATGGCCACATCTTACACGATGATATCAAAAGAGAAGAATTAAGCTAATACAGAAAAATAAAAGCTGATCTTATGGGTTTACTAGCATACTGCTAGTATTAATACCGCCGCAAAGTATATAATACTTTTCAGTTTTTGACACTGGATTGAAGCGGCTAAAGCACCGTCCCCTTACTTCTAGTGGCATAAGTGGACATTCAAGCAGGCCTACCCGTAGGCATATTATTAGAGAAAACTAATCTTATGGGTTTACTAGCATACTGTTAGTTAATGACACTGCCGCAAAGATATACGGATCGTGGCATATTTGCAGGTGTCCGAACAGGCCCTTGTTCGACCCTGGCTAGTGATGCGGTTCTGCATCCATGCACAGCAGGTGCTCAAATACCATGGAGTCGTGGCCTGCTTAAACGGTCTCCTTGGTGTCTAGAAGCAAGGGGTAGTGCAATTGTGCATCCGGTGTAAAGTGAGAAAACTTTATCTCTTATCTTTCTTTACACTGTGAATTTTCGCCGTTTCTATCCGGTATCATTCTTTTTAATGTGAGAATTAAGCTAATGAAAAAAACATTAATCTGATCTCAACACGTTAGACGCAAACAACCAAATTTCAATGCTATTTCATAATGATACCTGAAGCTTCTTGAGAAATAAAACAAGTTTACCACATATGTAATCCGGATGCGCCGTGTCAACCATGGCTAAGTCAGTGAGAAAAGTGCCGAGATAAGGTACAGTTCCTCTGACATCCAACTAAAAGATGGCTGTCGGTTCAACTTTTCATGATGAAACGATGAAAATCTTACTTTTGCTCGAGATCTGCTTTTAGTACAATTTTCTACGTCATACGCCGTTTTCGAAGTACCTTCTTTCATAAGCAGCCTTCTGACTTGCAAACAGTTATCACGTTCATCAAAAATTTGCGAAAGTTCCTCAAAAAGTTGTACATTCGAACTAAAAAACTGTCTAGTGAAAAACTAGCAAGACAAACAAATCATGTCATACCCTGGCACGTGTGACCATACATTGCGAAGTCTGTGCACTGGCTCGCTTTGTAAAGCAGATAAAACAGCTTTCAGAGAAGAAAAGTTCTTAAGCAAACGAAGCTCCTAAAACTCCCAGCATTGCGTGAATGTTATAAAACTGAATTAAGCTTCAATGTTAGTTTTCATGTGTCGTAAATTAAAATGATTTCATCTAAAAATGAGCTAGGCTCAACAGAAAAATTAGATAAACAAACCAAGTAAGGAAATTAGGACACAGAAGAATGCATACAACACAATTTCGATGCAATAGAACTAGCAGCATTGGCACAGTAGTCACAATAGGAAACCATAGTAAAACATTTTTACAGTCTTTTGGATATCTCTTTTGTTGCCGCTTTGTTATCGTTATCAAAAATTAACAGACTAAACAAGTTATCATGTATGACCGTTTGTCGATTTCCTACACTGCCGCAATAGCCACATCCTTCTGTAGAGCTTAGACATTGCATTGTTTTGATGTTATCAGCCACCAATGCCCAGTTTTGAAGACAGTATCTACAGTCGAGCAGTTCCACAGCATTTAATCTAATTTTTAAAATGTAGTGATATCATTTATCTGTCTTGAACGGAAGAAACGTATCTGACCCAACCGCGATTCCAACCAGTGATTTTTCGACTGCAAATTCTACCAGCTGTCAGTCTTCATCGCATATGGCTCAGCACTGCTCTGTTAAACTAGAAAAAATGCTCTTTGGGCTTACTCAACTTCAATGATCGATAGAGTTCAATGATCGCAGTGCATTCAATAAAATCAAACGAAAATACACCGTGCAATTAGTCAAAGATATTTCCACGCTGTGAAAACGTATTACTTTGATAAAATAAGATACTGCTTCACTATCGGTGGGATACTCGTTAGGCGGTTCGCTGTGAATGACAACATTCTTCAGTGACAGACTCTGAACTCCATGTTCCCGTGATCTCAGACTTACACTTCGTTCATCGCTGCAGAACTGTTCACCAGATCATGAAATGTGAGTTTCCTGATAAACAGCTGACGCTCACAATTCATATCATTCGCAAGTTTAGACATTATTACATTAATTAAATCAATACATCGGATGCAAGGAGTAGACAGCAAGCAGATTTAGCTGCAAGAGTTTACAATTCAAAGTTCAAGTTTCAATTCAAATTCATTTGTTTAGGCGCTGTCGGAAGAAAATAACATGAATCCCATTCCTCCAATCACGGTAAAATAGACAGTATTTTCCAAAAAAGCATTAAAGTTAGAGTATCATAAAGTTAGAGCATTTTGGACAATTTGGCCGGCATACATCTGATTCCGCAGTGCCGGACATCAGACAGATGTGGGTTAAGAAACCCAGTGCTTTTGCCAGCACAGATGTGCTCTCCTCGGCATCAAAGTTTCCGAGGAGAGTCAATAGTAAGAACAAATATGCGATCGCAGAGAATTCAGAAAAAAACCGGAAATTGCACTGTAACTAAATGCAGACCGCGATGCTGCCATAAAAACTGGTAGATCCCATGCCGCATGAATCAGCAAAAAAGCAATTCGATTACGCTGATTTTGCGCATTAAGACAACCGGGAGAATGGAATTTCTTACTTAGGAAAGAAATTTTCAATCAATCAATGTAAATTTACAAAACAACTTCTGCAGTGGGTCCTACAAGGCAGGCTTGAATATGATGAGACGAGTACTCTCTCTTATACTCGTCTGTCATGTGTATATCGATTAATAAGATGAAAAAGCGCATCACCTGAGCAACTGCAATCCAACACGATATTATTTTCGCACGGTAAGCCGGCTTTCTTGACTCATTACAAACTACCGACGACATTACGCGCTGACTAACAGCATTAAACTGCTTAACGGTGGCCCGAACGGTATGTACACGGTCTGAGTAACCTTCTTTTTTATTTCTGTACGACCAAAAGCAGCTTTGGCATTGGTAAGGAATCAGAGACCTGAATAAATCCTATAAAAGAGCTTTATTCATTAAGAATATAAAAATACATTACAAATAGAGAAAAAAGTAACAGATTTTCAAATACTGACTCGTGAGCAACAAACAGAACAGTTCAGCGAGTTTGCATCATTCCAGATCACAGTGTTTCGAAAACAAAATATGCTTATACAGCATTTGAGCACGAGTGGGCGATTATCTAGCGCAAGTGGGCACACACCGAAACTGGTTCTTTACACCATGGTGAGACACACGTTAATATATGACTGTGCAATAAACCACCACAGGAAGATACGAGTTTACTTACAGCATCTATACATGTCAGCTGTTCAGCGACATATAGCGGGTCCATATGGCATATATCGGGATGACATCCATTAAAAACGCCGACTGAACTTTCATTTCCAGAAGAAACAAGTGCATAATTGTCCCATATTTCTGACTTTACTAAAAACGATGATCGATGAGAAAGTAAATGCCAAACTCTAATACTTTCTGGGAAACTAAGTTCCTTGCAGAACTTATCCCGCAACTGAATTGCTTTGTCCACCAAGCAACCAAGAGGATGACATCGGCGACGTGAAAATTCAATGAGACGCTGTAAACACGGATACTTTGGATGTTCTCTGAAGTCTTCTGGATAGTGATCAAGCCATCGATGCAATACATCTGACCAAAACCTAAAGAATCGCTTGACGAGTGATAAAATAACTTCGATGTCCTACTTTAGGTTTCTTTCGAACTGCGTGAAGTTACCGTTCGTGTTTCTATCACAGAACGAAGCAGTGAGTCTAAAATCATTTATTCGGTCATACATAACAAACAAAACCATGTGAATCGCCATTGCTCAAATTTGTAAAATTTAACTTTCTAGACAATGCTGTAAGAACGCAAAAATACTAACAAATTATGAGACCCTTAGTTAGAAGAAGCTGAAGACTACACCAACACAGCAAGTAACTATTTTTGAAACTACTAAAACGGCATGCAGCAAGCCTAAAAGTCCTGCAGGACAAGTCCGGATGATGATGCTTTCTGAACAAGAAAGAAGATATATTTCGGTGATGACGATAGTATCTTCAAGAACTTCTTAATCTCGAGAAAGCGCAGGGAAACTCCGCCGACGTACATCAAGCAAGAGATATTAGTCGTTTAGTAAGCGAAATGGTAGATGCTGCAAAAAAAGTTTGAAAAATTCCGAGGCTTGTCGAATCGATTAAATCTGCTCCGAGCTGCTTCAAACTTTACACGAAGGAGGTATGCTGCAGCTAATACGTGTCGTGTCTGTAAAACTGTAATTATTGTGGGAAACAAAAGTGGGCTCAAGAACTACGATGGTAGTTATCGCCATTTAAGGGAGATCGGAGGGAGTGCTTCAATTATCGAGGTATCGCCGTACTGAACCTCGTGGAGAGTCTACGCAAAGGTGTTAAAAAGAAGTTGCCGCGGAACAACTCACTCTAAAAAACAAGAGCAGCGTGGTTTTCGCTCAAACCGAAAAACCTGACCAGATCTTTGCTCTACGACGAAGTGCTACAAAATCTTGGAAGCTCCCTCGCTCCGTTCACATTTTTTGTGGAACGCGAGAAAGAATATGACCGGATTCCGAGCAACAAGTTACGGGAGTGCATGCAAAAATATAAAATTGATGATCGGTTGCCACGGGCCATCCAATCACTACATACTGATAAGCAGAAGCTGCGGCAGAGTAAATGACGCTAAGTCGAAGCCTTTCACTGTTGGCACTGGTATCCTTCAAGAATGAGTTCTGACATCTCTTAGGTTTCTACTGTACATGGATGGGATAACCAGGCGCAACCAGGCGCAACCAGGGCGATGAGTGTATCAGCGTAGGAAATGTCGAGACAAGAAGCTTGCAGACGACTCTGTTCTGATGATATAATCTTAAGCTGATCTCCAGCGATCCTTGGAAAGGTTCTCAGCCGATTACGACGTCGCCGGCATGCGTATGAATGTGTCTAAAATCCAAGTGCTTTCTCGTTCTCCTGCTCGTTGCGCTCTGCAGATTAACCAGGGTGCAGTGGAGAAGATTGGGAGGTTCAAATACATCGGAGTTGTTTACTGGTGACGGAAAATTGACACAAAATATGGACCGGAGTTGCAGGTTGGTCACGGTCATTCAGCGTTTACTATAAGACAGAGTTGCGACTTAGGCAGAAATCAGTCTCAAAACGAAGCTGTCTGTGTTCAAGTCGATTTTCATCCTCATGCACACCTATGATCGAGCCATGAGCCAGGACTGAGAAACTGCGATCCTGATTACAGCGGATGAAATGGACTTTCTAACATTAAACGCGGGGCTCAAGCATTTTGAATGTCAGGTGTTCAGGTATTCAAGAAAGCTTTGGTGAACAGACATCGCTTCTCCAGACTGAGAAATCACAGATGCGATGATTTTGGCAAGTCTTGAGAATGCTTCTAGAAAGGAAGGCTATTACTTGCTCCACTTACAGAACGAAGACTCAGGGATCACCAAGAAAGACCTGGAGCAAGACCTTGATGGACTATACTCCAGACTCGAGTTTTTTCTGTCCGAAGATCAGACATGGGCACAAGATCAAAAATGCTGAGGACACTGTCTTACGCTACTGCCTCCGCGACCGAAAAGTAAAAGCGGGTCGCTTAAACTGAATAATTAATACAGTTCGTTTAAAAAATTTTTCCTCTGACCGCTGCGATCATTGTTTTCCGTGGTTCACTGATTACCTGGTGTACGAAGAGTTCAAAAATATCTTAAAACCGTGAAACAGAGTACACTTACTCGCTTAATATAATTTGTACTACATCATAAGGCTTCGCTACAGCACGATATGTTTCGAAAAACAGTTCGAACCGCGAACTTCGCACGCATTCATCATCCTGCAGAATTAGATGCCGCACCCATTTTTCTAGAGAAGCTGCTTTGAGAACTTTCACTTTAACCGTTTCCCACTTCAAGCGATCGCCATCGGTGGAGTTGGAAGCGAAACACTTTTGAGTTAAAGCGTGCTAAAATAATCACAGTATAATTTTCAAGGTGAACTGCTGTCATCACCAGACGGGAGCTTTTCGTGTCAATACTGCTCAAAGCGAAATCATTTGGCCGTCCTTGATAACGGACCTTCTTCAGGTAAACATCGTAATGAGCATCCTTCTCTTTCTCTTCACCCCAAAAACGAGAGCTCATCCAGCAAACGGGCACATTGGCAGCTTTAAACCTAATATCATACGTAAAGTAAAACGAAAAGTGCGAAATTATGTTGTACATCATTACTAATCGTACGCGAGTAAAATGTCGAAGCTAATTTCTTTGGAATCCAACAAACATTTACTGCAGTATGATGAAAAGCGCAAACAGAAACGGACAGAACTCGCTTTTCCTTCTGTAGCGCTCTTAACTTAGTAGTCTGAAAATTACCGCACTGCAGCTTGACTATAACTTGCTCGTCACAAGAACATAACAGCTTCAAAAGATAAAATATAAAGTTTCAGCCTATTAAATCTTTACAAATATAATTTTTCATCGATATCTTGATCAATCCCCAAACTAAACTACGCAGTCTGCACATACGTTTCTCCAACATAACGCAGCGTTATATATCCTTGAGAAACGCAGTTATATCAGCGGTTTGAGAATGCAGTAATAAGATTAAAATTTTCTATTATTCAGGACAAACTGGTAGGTCAGTCAACATTTTTTTGCCAAGAAGGAAATATAGCAGTACTTATCAAAAAAAAACAGATATCATTGTTCTACCGATATAAGTGCTTCAACCACATACACATAATTCAACCACTACTTGAATTATTGCTGCAACCGTTATTCAACTGACATGAACTCTGCCCGTACTGCCCAGCATGCTATCGCCGAAGGGCACTCTTTCGTCAGACCAACGTGTTTATCATAGACAAAGACCATTCTAAATCAGGTCTGCTAATAAAGGAGTCTTTGCATCTATTGGCAATGAAATACCGAGAGTGTAATGAATGCGCATGTTACGTGGTTATTAGCGCGAGCAGAGGCAAAATCACGAATTTGATACGCAAAATCGGGTTAACATAACAAAGATTCGACTAAATTTTGTGAGCTCTGCATTATTACCGTTAACATTACCTACGGTCATAAGTCGTGGGCCATGACTAAAAGAACTTCAATCGAACGTACAAACGGCTGAAACGGGCTTACTGAGTCGAGTCGCTGGCCTTACGCGTCTCGACATGGTCCGGAGTAAAAAAAACCGCGAGAGCCTTGCTATACAGCTGCTGCTTTTTCAGATTGAGACAACACAATTGCGATGGTTTGGGCACGTGTTGGGAATGTCTACAGAATGAAAAGCGAAGCAAACATTTCTTGCCCAGTCGACCTGTAAAAGGCCGAGGCGTCGGTCAAGATTAACCTCGTGAAAAAATTTATGAAAGTCTGCTCCAGACTCCAGTTGTCTTCTGCTGAAGCTCAGACACTGGCACAGAATTGGGAATGTTGAAAGCACTGTCTGACGAGTCTGCCTACGCGATCCAAAAAGAGAAGCGGTCATGGAATATGAAGAATGAAGAAGATTGTTGGTTAACATTATGGTCGAGCAGTTTAACAGCGCTTTATTGTAAAGTATGGAATTGAAAAACTGAAAAACAATAGCACTGTTCTTTTGGTGAATATAAACGCCATAAAGCAGCCGTTTGTGCTCACGCAGTCCTGAAGATGCTAAGGTCTATGTAGTGAAACACACTGGTAATAATATTTCATCATCTGTTGCGTTTGAATTCCCTAACCATGAATCGTTCAACCAACTATCTAACATGGACTCTAATCTTGACAATGCTGAAATGGGGCAGCGGGATGAAGACTGTCACAAGATGCTCCTGCTACGCACTCTGAAACTGTGTTACAGCTTTACGATACAACGAATGCCATCACCTGGCAACCGTACGCTGCATAAGGGTTCTCTATGCTCCACCGGCAACAGACCCAACAGTTCTTTTTAGGGTCAAAGATATAAGCCAATAAAAAATAAACTAAGCGGTCCCTATAGGGATCAAGGTGAAGCTGTGGGCCGCACACCTAGCATTTTTCAGCTGAATATCGAAAACGTTTCACATGCAAAATGTGAATACTTATTGAAGACCTGGAATAAAGCAGGATTGACATCGCCAACCTACAAAACATACACAGCGAAGCTAATCATAGAACTGCCGGATATAAATTGTTGAGCTCACTGTGATCGCTAAAATCAATGACGAAATGCCGGCTTATATCTCAATGATGTAGTTGTGCTCAACACTAGCGAAGATCAGACAGGCGAACACAGAAGTGAACTGGATGACATGTCACATACTACGGTGAGCGTTCGAGAAATCGCCACGAAATCGCTAACGAGCATATACAGTGGATCTGGAACCAGTTGGACAACACTACCATTAATAAAGCCGCCTCACCTGGCTGTTTAGGAGGTGGATTTCAACAGTCATCAAACGGAATCGGGCTAAGCAATGAACGCTGAGACAGGTGAGTAACTAATCGACTGAAGATCGGCAGTTGATGTATACTTACGCCACGCTCTAAAGAGCAAGGTATTTTCAGATCAGCCAAATGAAAGACTGACCGGAGTCTGGATTTCTGCTTCGTCCCAAATGTAGTAGTGGCACACCGCTCCCTACCACCAAAACAGCGCTATAGCTCTTCATAAAAATACACGCTGTCTTGCGATACTCCGAATCGGTTTTCAGGTACAGCCTATTTAAACCGCTCTGCTATCGCCCTGCAACTGTCGAAAGGCAAATTGGCTATCGATTACTTTCGAAGTGGAAGAACGTACCGAATGGGTCGTGGAAACGATTAAATTTGTCGGAATTATCGTTCGAATATTAACCTCTGTTGCAACATACAGCACCCCGCGTAGATAGAGGAAGACTAATATACTTCGTTGGTCGAAAGAGACGGAGTAACATTACAGGGAGTGCCGATCCCAGAGTCTGCAGAAATTGCGGCTTCTCTAACTGAATCATTGAGAACCGCAGAAACGCTGAAGAGACCATAATAGGACTAGTCACACTCGAACTACAAGGAATGGGTACTGAACCGTCCTCCTGGCGCAGCAAAACCTACAAAACACCGAGCTGTTTTCGTTGATGCTGTTGGGAATTACCTCCCCTAGACTCTGAAAGATCGACAGTGAGGGGCACCAACTCCCATGGGAGGCGCTTCAAAAATAATTTTCAAAACCCTAGCAATCCCCTTGAAACAGGCCCTCTTTCTACCTAGTGCACACTAGAGGAAATAAATGCGCCGCTGCCGTTCACGAAGAAAGCAACGCTGCTGACATCGATTGAATTTTCTCGAAATTTCTTATGAACCTGCGTCCAAATGACCGGCAGCAGCTGGCTTCTCTTGTCACAGCGGTCTGCACAACAAAACAAACTCGTCCTCCCAGCCGCGTGGCACTCAATGTCCTTTTGAAACCAAGAAAACCTCCGGACAGGGCGTTACTGTGCATAATCAGGAAACCAATGGAGTCAAGTCTGTGAATGCGGTTTCACATATAACTGAAGCGTCGTTTATGTGGAATAATCTGGTTTGCGATCTGGGCGCAGCTGTTTCGAGCAACTGCTTTCGTTTATCAGCCTTTTCGAGGCGAAATTTCAACGAAAACA